AAAGACCAACGGATTGCTCTCGCCGAGATCTCGCGATTGGTGGTATATTTTTTGGTCCTAGGTCAACATTTGACCTACTTTTGACCGGTCAAAGGTCAAATTTTCGGAAAAATAGACTTTTTCAACTTTCCGCGGCGATTGCGGCAAAACGGTGGAAGATATCGACTTGAAACCTTCACTATCGTGTTCCTTGATCAATTCTCTATCGTTTGGTATGTATTTCGTTTCCCTAACTCTAAAAATGGCGCGTTGGGAGCGCCGGAAGTCGGCAAGGTCACAGTCGGCGGCAGAAATTCGAAAAATCAAAATTTAAATTTTTGAAATCTGATTGTATTTTTGGATTTGGAAGGTCCATTTGCTTCCTATAGAAGCTAATATTGCTGCATATTCCCATTGAGGTGACAAGAATTAGCAAAATAGTGGTTCGGGCGCTTTTCAAAAATAGTACCGGACGCTGTTCCTCTTGTGACGTCATAGCTCCGTGACCTGACCTGACCCGGTCAAGTTTCTTATACCATATGATAGCCAATACTTGCCCCAACATGCATGGGAAGTTTCATCACGATCCATCAACCGATGTCCGTACCACCGGCAGGAAACCTCGGGCGTTGGCACTCAGTTTGTGAAAATCCGGCCGGAGGCTGTTCCCTTTGTGACGTCATAACTCCGTGACCTGACATGACCCGGTCAAATTTTTTTTTATCAAAAGATGCGCAAGGTTTGCCCCATAAGGTAGCCAAAATTTGGCGGCGCTGCGCGCCGCCGTTTTTGCACTATTTCCGAAAAACCTCAGGGGGGGGGGTTGCACCAACCCCCCCCCCTACATGGGCGAGGGTTAAGGAAAATGGTCAAGGAGAATTTTGTGGCTGCATAGGTGTGACATGCCTTCATTAAGACTCGAATATTCACAATTCGGCATGCCGTTCCATACGATTCACACACAAGTGTCTGCTGACTGGTCGAGGCTGACCTTTTTTGTGACGTCACAGGTCATCATCCATTCAGTTGACTATCCACATGTCAGATATATGATATACATTATATCCAGACCCATTTGAGATACCTAAATTTCTTTTTTATGACCGGCTTCTCGTGAATGCCAAATTAGACAGATTTGACCTTGTTTGACCTCCCTGTGACGTCACAGGTCAAATATCGGGGTCATCGATATCCTATCCTGTGCATCTCGATGAGCTCTTTCGACGACTATTGGTTCCGGAGATACGACGGGAGATACGGCTTTGGGCCCCATTCAACAGGACCTGTGAAGGAACCTACCAGACCTCAACAGGGCGCTGGGCTAAAGAGTATATCTGTGATTCTGCATCCAGAGAGAGACCTTTCTCTAATCATTCAGGATGCCGCTACATTCCCGTCGCTCGCTGACACCATCGTCTCCGATGGCGACCTGTCTGTAGGTACCGCAGCACTCCAGTCACAGTGCCCTGTGGCTCAGTCCGACTGCTACCGACCGGTCTGTAGTCTCTACTGCAGTCTGCAGTGCCCTGCGGCACGGCGTAGTCTGTACCGCAGCGCCGCGGTGCCCTGTGGCACGGCGTAGGTAGTCTGTACCGCAGCGCCGCGGTGCCCTGCGGCACAGTCTAACACCGATCGGTCTGTAGGTAAATAGTCTGTACCGCAGCGCCGCGGTGCCCTGCGGCACAGTCTAACACCGATCGGTCTGTAGGTACATAGTCTGTACCGCAGCGCCGCGGTGCCCTGCGGCACAGTCTAACACCGATCGGTCTGTAGGTACATACATAGTCTGTACCGCAGCGCCGCGGTGCCCTGCGGCACAGTCTAACACCGATCGGTCTGTAGGTACATAGTCTGTACCGCAGCGCCGCGGTGCCCTGCGGCACAGTCTAACACCGATCGGTCTGTAGGTACATAGTCTGTACCGCAGCGCCGCGGTGCCCTGCGGCACAGTCTAACACCGATCGGTCTGTAGGTACATAGTCTGTACCGCAGCGCCGCGGTGCCCTGCGGCACAGTCTAACACCGATCGGTCTGTAGGTACATAGTCTGTACCGCAGCGCCGCGGTGCCCTGCGGCACAGTCTAACACCGATCGGTCTGTAGGTACATATTCTGTACCGCAGCGCCGCGGTGCCCTGCGGCACAGTCCGCCCCACGGACACTAGCACCGACAGTTGCAGTCTCCGTGGCCCACTTTGGGCTCACTGTCCACTGACCGAACATAGGCGGCGGAACGGGGAGGGCACCGGGGCACAGTGCCTCCTTTGATTTTTGCATTTTAACATTAGCCCTATTGGCTGTTGCATGGAAAGAATGGGACCAAAAGTCGGCGGTGCCCCCCCCCCCTTAATTGAAGGTTTCCGCCGCTACTGTGACCGAAGGAATTCGGCTTCGCTCGTGCAGCGCAGTGCGCATGAGCAGTGTGCTGCTTTCCCTTCAGCAAATCAATGTTGGATACTCTGAGTTAAAACATACCTACTGAGTTATTTGCTTATCGAGCCTTAGGCGATTTTAGGACTAAAGTACGTATCGCTAAAGTACGTAGGACAAAAGTACGTATGCAAATGTTCGTACGCAAATATACGTAGGCGCTAAAGTTCGTATGCCAAAAGTACGTACGCAGATGTTCGTACGCAAAAGTACGTATGCAAAAGAACGTAGCGCATAAAGTACGTATGCCAAAAGTACGTACGCAAATGTTCGTACGCAAAAGTACGTATGAAAAAGTACGTAGTGCATAAAGTACGTATGCCAAAAGTATGTACGCAAATGTTCGTACGCAAAAGTTCGTATGCAAAAGTACGTAGTGTATAAAGTGTGTATGCCAAAAGTACGTACGCAAATGTTCGTACGCAAAAGTACGTTTGCAAAAGTACGTAGTGTATAAAGTACGTATGCCAAAAGTACGTACGCAAATGTTCGTACGCAAAAGTTCGTATGCAAAAGTACGTAGTGTAAAAAATACGTGTGCCAAAAGTACGTACGGTTCGTATGCCAAAGTACGTAGTGTATAAGTACGTATGCTAGAAGTAGGGTATAGTAGTGTAAGTTGAGCCACTTTTTCTTTATTGCTACCCTGTTGCCATACTACAGGGAACTCATGATAAATTCATATAGGTACCAAATAGTATAGCTTTGTCCCTTTCGCCCATTTACTCATCGAGAAATTTTGCTATGCCTTGTAACAAATGCTCATAAAATAAAGAATAAGAAAGGTATTACGCATTGATCAACTTAGGTACCCCATGGGTGGGGTACGTACTTTATACCCAATACGAACATTTGCTATGCGTACTTTTGTCCGTGACGTACTTTGGTCCACATGTAGGGTAGACCGGGGCAAGTCGCCCCGCCGAGGTAAAACGCCTGGCGGCCTCACCGATGTTTCTCGGAACTGACAGGGTTCTGGGGAAAGATCCTCTCTTCTGTTAAACGTGCACTATATGATCATTATATGAGCAGACTGGAAAGAAATTGTGATAGCTCTCTGGGGAGATATAGCCAAAAATGTGTTTTTGAGTGATTTTTATGTTTGGTCATCTGATTATGCATCATCGCGTTCTTTTGTAGTCCACATCAGGTTAACGACTTTTATGTATTTTGAACAACTATTGTCTAACGCTTATAATGCCGCGTTGGTTCGTGTCTTCATGTCTTGCTGGAGCGCAAGGCGTTGTTCGCTGACCGAACTACGTGATGGGGTAAAACGCCCCAGTAGGTCGCGGGGCAAAAAGCTCCATGGGGCGTTTTACCCGCATGTGTTGTTCGGACTACCCACTTCCTAATGTTCGGTAGCTGGCGAACAGCAAGTTTCTATGCATTTATATGTATTTTTCTCAGCAGCTGTATGGCAAAGGAAGTGTATTGTTAACTGATTTGCTTTGCAATAATTTATTATTTGGCCTTATGAGGCACGTGAAAAACCTGCTCATACAATAGTGTCATAGCTGAACACCTGATAGGATGGAAGGTGCTAACTTCAGTGCCGTGCCTCCAGCGGTCTAATGGACCTCTCATATAAGATTTAGTCAACTACCATGTTTAATCTTTAAGCTAGACTCTAGAGTATGGGGCTTCTTGCCTCAGGCCGTGGGGCGTTTTGCCCTGGTGTTGGGGCAAAATGCCCCATTTGCAGTTGCTTCACAAATCACTTCCTAGCTGGGAGTCCGATCATAAGTGAATAAATTTTAGGGGTGGAATTTAAAGTAAAATGTCCAAAAAACACATTGAGCACAAATTTGGCCTTCCAGGTGATGTAGGACAAAATTTAGGTAGGCCTATGTAGCAAAATAAATTATCTGGGGCGTCTTGCCCAAGGTCTTTACCTTGCGTCTTTACCTTTATACCCTACGTATGTACATTTGCTATACCTATGTACTTTTGTAAGTGACGTACTTTTGTCCATACGTTTACGTACTTTATACCCTACGTACTTCTGCCATACGTACTTTTGTCCGTGACGTACTTTTGTCTATACTTACCTTTTACCCTACGTACATTAGCTATACGTTCTTTTGTCCGTGACGTACTTTTGTCCATACGTACTTTATACCCTACGTACTTCTGCGATACGTACTTTTGTCCCTGACGTACTTTTGTCCATACGTACTTTTTACCTTACGTACATTAGCTATACGTACTTTTGTCCCTGACGTACTTTTGTCCATACGTACTTTATGCTGTACGTACTTCTGCGATACGTACTTTTGTCCCTGACGTACTTTTGTCCATACGTTTTTATACTGTACGTACTTCTGCGATACGTACTTTTGTCCCTGATGTACTTTTGTCCATACGTACTTTATACTGTACGTACTTCTGCGATACGTACTTTAATCCTACGTACTTTTGCTTACGTACTTTTGTCCTACGTACTTTAGCGATACGTACTTTTGTCCGTAACCCGCCTTAGGCATGCCTACCTATTCCTGCATATATGATAATTTTATTACGTTTCGACTCGACTGCAGCGCCGATGTGCATGGAGCGTTCAGGTTCCAAAGCAGAAGTACACTGACTGACCGGTAGGTGTCACTGGTGAAGGCCCTACAGACGTCCACGCTCATGACGCTCATCCAGAAGAAAGCGGCCAGGAAGAAGTAGTGGATGCTGATGCCGAACAGGAAACACAGCGAGAAAATGCTGTTCTGCACGATTCCTGAAACACGCGGGAAAACCGACCTGGAAACGCCGCCTGAGACGGTCCGATAAGTAGCTAACTAGCTAGGAGACATGGGGAGGCCTACCGCCTGGACCTACCGGTTTCCGGTACCTAATGAGCGGCAGCGACGGAAATGACTAGAGGGAAAAGAAACATCAAACAGTTCACCGTAATTACGAATTAAGAAGCTAAGAATTTCACTACCAGGGCAAGTGACGAGCTAATTTTAATAGGGCACTGGTCAACAGGCTGGGCGGCGTGTGCAAACAAGCCCGTCAGCTGGCCCTTCTTACCGGTAAGAAGGGCAGCTGCTCTGACAGACAGACCGGTCAGACAGAGCAGCTGCCCTTCTTACCGGTCAGACTGAGCAGCTGGGCCACTGTCCTTACCGGTCACTGGTCAGATAGAGCAGCTGGGTCACCGTTCTTACCGGTTAGATAGAGCAGCTGGGCCATGAGCAGCGCGCAGGAGAGCGACAGCAGGTTTTTGGCGGGCAGGTTCCTCAGCTTGCTGAAGAAGGTGTGCACCAGGATGTGCGCCGCCAGGCAGACGATGGACAGCGTGAAGCACACGAACGAGATGTGCTCCTGGACGCGGTTGTACTTGAAGCTGATGTCGCCGGCGGGGTCGGCGGCGCAGACCAGCAGGCCGCCGCCGTCGGCCTCCTCGAACTGGCCGGGCGCCAGCAGCCGGTCGTAGACCAGCACGAACACGGAGCCGTTGGCGCGGCGCTCGAACTGCGCCGGCTGCAGCCGGATCTTGGCGCAGGCCGACAGCAGCGTGTCGCTGGCGTTGGACGCGTCCGGCGCCGGCACACACTCGTCGCCCGAGAGCACGAAGTTGGCGCCGCAGTGCAGCGGGAAACAGCGCTCGAAGAGGCCGTCCCACACCTCACCGACGCTGCGGCCGGGCACACCCGGTCACCGCGGGCCGGGGTTCGAATCCGGGGAGCGGCGACATTTTACCATTAGAATGCTGTTGAATTACCAACCCATCTCGGCCTACCACCCTGACTTGCATATGCGCGCCCTTTCTCCCCGACCTGACCTGAGTGGCCTGACCATTTGCTCCGCTACTGCCCTGACCCTGCCCTGCCCCGACTCTGCCCCACCCCGGCCGCCCGGCTGCTGACCTGCAGGTGCGCTGCCCCGGCCGCCCGGCTGCTGACCTGCCCTGCCCTGCCCCGGCCGCCCGGCGGCTGACCTGCAGGTGCGCTGCCCCGGCCGCCCGGCTGCTGACCTACCCTGCCCCGCCCGGGCCGCTCGGCTGCTGACCTGCAGGTGCGCTGCAGGCCCACACTCTCGCCGTAGAAGTCGAACAGCACGGCGGCGGAGACGGCGAACCGCTCGCCGGGCGTCACGGGCGTGATAAACGGCTGCACGTTACACTCGGTCTCGTTGTGGCCGTTACAGGCGGCGCAGTGCGGGTTCTTGTAGCGCACCTGGGAACGGACAGACGGTGAACGGCGACGGACAGAGAGAGAGAGAGAGAGAGAGAGAGAGAGAGAGAGAGAGAGAGAGAGAGAGAGAGAGAGAGAGAGAGAGAGAGAGAGAGAGAGAGAGAGAGAGAGAGAGAGAGAGAGAGAGAGAGAGAGAGAGAGAGAGAGAGAGAGTGAGAGAGAGAGAGAGAGAGAGAGAGAGAGAGAGAGAGAGAGAGAGAGAGAGAGAGAGAGAGAGAGAGAGAGAGAGAGAGAGAGAGAGAGAGAGAGAGAGAGAGAGAGAGAGAGAGAGAGAGAGAGAGAGAGAGAGAGCGCTGGTCTGCTGTTGACTACTGAACGATAACAGGGGCCGAGAACGAACGACACAACTCGCCTCCGGTGACACTTTACAGTGAGAGGGAGGGGACTGCTGATCGACAAGAGGGGCGGAGAAAGGCACAACGTGTCTGGTGAAGGAGAGGATTTAAAGTACCTTCAAAACTCAACACTAAGCGCACTAAGAACGCCACAGCAATTAATTTGCAGAAATGCACACATGAGAAACCCAATTATGTGAAGTGCTGCAACTAGGCTTTGGCAGCACTGGGTAGAATTCAGCTCTAGTAATTATCCTACACCAGAGACCGTCTTTATTATTGGCACACCTGCAATGCGCGAGCATTATCCAAGGAGGCTTAACTATAGCGTTAGCCCCCCGAGTTTTCCGTGTCATGCTCCTGGGCCACGTAGCGACACGTGGTAAGCGGCAATAGAAAGGACGTCAAAAATAATGGCGGAAATACTGCTGTCATTTTCAGGTCAGGGCAAAGGTCAGGTCACCAGAGGTTATCAAAGGTCAAATTTTGTCTACTTCAGCAATTTTCTAAACACCCGACGGATAACTAGGGAACCAACAGAGCTAGAGCGCTGCAGAAAAGCGCATTTGATAGCTCTTTCAAAGGGCTTTCTGATTATTGCTCTCATATTTTTTAGCCTCCAGAGGGCAAAAACTCTAAAATAGCCGTTTTCACGAAACAAGTTTTCGGTAGTAACTTTTGACCCAAGAGAGCCACGACATTTATTTTGCCAGCATCGTGTTTCTCTCGTCGAGACACGTCGAAAGAACTATCCGTTCACCTTAAAATGTCATTTTAAAATTTGACCCCAGGTCAAAATCATGACCTGACCGGAAAGGATCATATTGTATATTAGTCGATCCGTATCGTTCAGCTGAACACATCTGACGTGCTTTCGCCGCTCTAGCATGTGTCTATCAAAAGTTATAGTAAAAAAAACTACTGGTGACCTTTCATGATCTGAGATGACCTCAGGGGCACACAGAGGGGGCACAGGTGCAATTGCCCGATTCAGTGTATTATGTGTACATATGAACTGATGTTTGAGAGGGTTTAGAATACCTAACATTCGTCCAAAACAGGCGCATTTGAATTTTCTCTCATTGACTTATAATATAGAGATGTCGCAAAGTGACCTGACCTTAGGTCACAGATATCAAAAATCTGAAATAAACATTTTATACATACTGTTACTCTAACCAATCGCTGCAAGTTTCAGAGTGATCGTTCCGTCGGTGTATAGCTGCAAAATGGCAAAATGACACCTTCCCCTGATCTGCCTTCCAAAGGGCAGCGGTGCTACGTAGGTCGGCGCATTATCCTATGGTGCATTATGCCTCTGCAAAGTTTGCGAGCGTGTGAGTCGGCTGAGCCCCGGTTTCAGCTTCCCGGAAAAATTCGCCACCGCTGAGTCAGCCGCCGCTGTGAACTGCGTTTTTCGCGCCGTCATTTACATCCCGGCGAGCAGAGCCGCGCTGTTCAGGGGCCGCGACTCACACCAGCCGCGGGCTGGGAGCAGCCGACCAGCTCTGACCAGAGATCAGCAGCTCTCCGACACTGAACGCTACATGAGCTCAAGGCACTCAGTTCCGGGACAGCGACTGGTAAAAGCGACTTTTCTCGTGCGCAGCATCTGAGATTATTTGTTCTAAAATGAACGTCGAGTGGCGAAACGACGTACGAGTTCGCATTGGCAATATTCGTGTTGCGATGATGATCTAAAGAAATGCAAGAAGATAATTGATACACACAATATAGGTAATAATTTTGCCTATCTATGCCTAAGTGTTGTGCATGGTCATGCAATGTTCATTTTACAGAGGTACAATCTACGGAAAGTGATTCTACAATAGGTATACACTAGGGTTACCCGCGTGCTCCGCAACGCGAAGAAGGGTTATTTTTTACCCGTGGGTATTGGGTTCCGTTCATTTGTGGCCTTGCGTAGCCTTTCTTCACGAGTCAAGTTTGCAGAGAACACTTTGCTACACTTGGCAATTTTATTCTTTGATTTACATACGATGCGTTGTGCTATGCAGTATAGCGCTGCAGAGTCCAGCATAAACAACGCAAACTTCTTAGAATGGAGAAAAGCCCAGACCACTGGATCACACTTTATGCAGAGTCATTTCTGTTAGAACTGTCAATTTAGTTATCGTCTTTTCGCCCGCTTGTGTCGGCTCGGCCGCCCGTATTTCTCCTCGGCCGCCGCGCGGCCGCTGTATTGCGGCACAGCATCTCTCGCTGGAGCGGGGCTGTGCGGCGCGGACTCGTGCAGTGATTGGTCGGCTGCTGACCACGTGATTGTGAGGTGAGGTCGGGTGAGGGCGCGCCGGCGGAGGGCAATCGGGCAATGTCTGTTGTCGCGGCTGGTGCGTTGGGACCTCGAATGTTATATGCGTTTGCTGGGGACGTCGGCAGACTCGTCTGAGAGGCTTGCTGTCGGCTTACTCGGCGACGCATATACATTCGAGGGTCTAAATCTGGGACTGAGTCTGTCCGGCTCGTTCCTCATTCGCTTTTTTGCCCCAACCACCGATAGCACAGCGCCGTGAATATGTAAGCCGTACTAGTCTGAGCGGCCTGTTCGGCGAGCATATTCACGGAGCTGTTTGTAACATTTGAGCGTGCCTTGCAAGGTCGCTATTCCACACGGCTGTCAGCCTATTCAAGGGCGGTATTTTCTTGGGGTTCCTCGAGCGTCTCTGGAGATTCACTAGTATATTTCTACGCCAGTTGCGATTGGTCGCTGTTTATATCGAGTCCCTCAATAGCCGGGGTTTTTGGCAAGTGATCATCTTGTTTGTCTGGGTTTTGTTGACAAAAAATACATCCGCCTGGTGTATTTATACCTTCTTTGACTTGGAATCGCAACATAGTCCACCGGGGCCGGATCATTTATTCAGTGGCGGACACAGTCCCCATGGCTACCGGACATTTAATTTGTTGAGTCCACTGGGTAAATTGATGGTTTGTTTTGAACATACAGTCCAGTTTGTACTTTGATTTAGTTCCCATTTCACTCAAACATGGAGGAGCTACTGGCTGCTAGGTCGCGTCTCCGCACAAAGGCTACTAAAGCGTGCAACGATCTCCGAGCCTACAGGGAGGGAGATCGGAAAGCGCTAGACCCGGACCAACTTGCCCTAAAACTCCACCATGTGGAGAAGATCCAGACTCAGTTGCAGGGCTTGCAGGTCCAGCTGGACAAACAGGGTCAAGCCGATGAGACAAATCATGTTCAGACTCTGGAGGATGAGGCTTTCCTCGGTTCTCGCCTTTTGACTCGCCTCGAGAAGGCAGAGGAGGCCCAGTTCAGGGCAGAGTCGATGAAGGCAGCTGGTAGCGCCGATTTTAAATCATCTCTCACCGTGGCGATTCCCACATTCGATGGTGATGTGATGAGATGGCCCGAGTTCTGGGAACTGTTTTCGATTGCTGTGCACGACAACCAGTGCTATGCCAACGTTCAGAGATTCGTGGTCCTCAAGTCGCATCTTGCCGGAGCGGCATTGAGGGCCATTCAGGGCATCCCAGTCACGGGTGACGGGTATGTGCAGGCGGTGTCAGCTCTGAAAGCGCGATTTGACCTCGAGAATGTGCGACGGGAGACTCTCTTGAAGGAGCTGATGAACATGTCATCAGTCCGCCACGGTGACTTGAAGGCCATGCGATCCTTCATAGATCACCTGTCTGCGCACACGAGAGCTCTCAGCACTCTGGGTGTCTCCTCAAAGAGCCTATCCAGCCTGCTGCTGCCCATGGTGAAGGGCAATATCCCGGAAGACTGGCGTCTGGAGTGGGCCCGGCGATCGAGTCACCACTTTGATGACTTCCTGGTGTTTTTGAAGGAGGAGATTCGGGTCAGAGAGCTTGCTAGGGGCCCGAATAGTGAATGCTCTGCTGTTGACCCACCAGCAACGTTCTCGGTGACCACCAGAGACCTCGACTCTGAACACCTGGCCAGGGAATGTCTGGGCAGTCCGTGTGCTGAGCGTGGCCGCCAGCATCACTCGCTGCTGCATGATGCGGAGCTTGGAACGCAGCATTCACCCTCAGCAGTTTCTGAGTTGAGCCCTGATGCTGAACCACTCCAGCCTCCTGAGCCTCCTGCTCCGGGTACTTGTGCAGAGGCTGAGACGCACGGTGTTGAGCTGCCCAGTCGTCACCGATATAATGTCAGCTCTACAGGAAAGAGCTTCTTGCAAACCGCTGCTGTTGTGGCAGCAGGTCTCAATGGCCGCACGCCGGCACGTGATCTCCTTGATGGAGGATCTGACGCCTCCTATGTCAGGAGCTCCCTGGCTCTGGAGCTGGGACTACCTGATAAGGGCTCCGACACATTTGCCTGTATCGGGTTCCATGAGAGAACCGAGCAGCCTTGCGCCTATGATCGAGATGAGGTTGATATTGAAAGTCGTTTCGAAAGCCCGTCAGTCAAACTTGACATGAAGAGCACAGACGTGCTGTGCTCATCGCTCCCAACTGCTCAGCCACCTCGGTTGCCGTCTGAGATCCAGACGGCTGATGATTTCCGGGGCGGTGAGGTTGACGTCCTCGTAGCGGCTGATGACGTGCATCAGGTCGTCCTACAGGATCAGTTGGAGGCTGATGGGCTGAGAGCCATCGATACTATTTTTGACTATGGGCTGAAAGGTGGAGACAATGATGGTCTCCACACGAGCCAGTGCCCTTCTAGTCGGCCCGATGCTGCTGACTGGGACGCGAGCCCAACTGGCATTCATGACAATGAGCTGAACGACTCTCGCTCCAACTCACAACTGATGTGGAGTGAGAAGCTCCACGAGCCGCCCCCGATTTGGGGCTCTGACGAGAGGCCGACATATGGCCGCCGCTCCCGGCCGTCGTGGTGCCGTGAGGCGCCCTCGATCGTCGGCCCCCGACCCATCCCGTCGGTGCAGAGGAAGCACCCCGGCGGGATCTGGCGGTGGCATCGGTGGCGCCGTCGAGGGTGAACCCACCGCAACGCGCCCCAGTGAGGTTCATCCCCGAGACTGCCCCATGGTGGGGAGGCTTTTGGCAGTGATTCGTGGGTTCTGAGAAGCATAGTAGGTTAACTGTAGGATAAGCTTAGTTAAGTGTTTAGATTATTTGGTCGCAGGAAGACAACATAGGCGGTAGCAGGATGGCAAACTCAGTCTGTCGGCTGAGTGCATGGCAGCTTGGCAGCGCCATATTGTCGCTGGATTATGCGATCTGCTGTTCTCCCTACTCACGAATCTTTCTTGTCTTTTTAGTGTCACCGTTGACGTCCTGGAGATGCTTCAGAAGGACGACTACCGGTCGCAGCGGGAGGCCGTCCGGGTGATGGTGATCCTGAACCTGACGTCGGGCGGCTCCCAGGAGCGGATGGCGGAGCTGTGCCGACTGGGCGCCGCCAAGCCTCGCTGTGACCTGCTGGCCGCCGGGGGTGCCAACCTCATGGTCTTCATGGACGCGCCGTCGAACGTGCTGAGGTGCGCCGAGCAGGTGGACCGGGAGGGCACCGTGGCTCTCCAGGTGGATGAGTGCGGCGGCCTGGACCGCATCGAGTCGCTGCAGACGTACGAGGAAGAGCCGTCCTCATCATCGGCAGGCACTTCGACGATGACGACGAGGAGGACGCTGAGCTGGCGGCGCGCCGCCGCCGCCGCCGATGGCTTCCAGCTGAGCGTTGACACAGATGCAGCCACGGCCGGCGACCTCCAGTTCTATGACGGCGGTCTGCGCGGGACAGTCATGAGAGTGGTGCGCCGGTGATGCGAGAAGTGGACTTTAGTTATGAAAATGGGGCAAGCCCCATTTTGGTGGGGAGTATGTTAGAACTGTCAATTTAGTTATCGTCTTTTCGCCCGCTTGTGTCGGCTCGGCCGCCCGTATTTCTCCTCGGCCGCCGCGCGGCCGCTGTATTGCGGCACAGCATCTCTCGCTGGAGCGGGGCTGTGCGGCGCGGACTCGTGCAGTGATTGGTCGGCTGCTGACCACGTGATTGTGAGGTGAGGTCGGGTGAGGGCGCGCCGGCGGAGGGCAATCGGGCAATGTCTGTTGTCGCGGCTGGTGCGTTGGGACCTCGAATGTTATATGCGTTTGCTGGGGACGTCGGCAGACTCGTCTGAGAGGCTTGCTGTCGGCTTACTCGGCGACGCATATACATTCGAGGGTCTAAATCTGGGACTGAGTCTGTCCGGCTCGTTCCTCATTCGCTTTTTTGCCCCAACCACCGATAGCACAGCGCCGTGAATATGTAAGCCGTACTAGTCTGAGCGGCCTGTTCGGCGAGCATATTCACGGAGCTGTTTGTAACATTTGAGCGTGCCTTGCAAGGTCGCTATTCCACACGGCTGTCAGCCTATTCAAGGGCGGTATTTTCTTGGGGTTCCTCGAGCGTCTCTGGAGATTCACTAGTATATTTCTACGCCAGTTGCGATTGGTCGCTGTTTATATCGAGTCCCTCAATAGCCGGGGTTTTTGGCAAGTGATCATCTTGTTTGTCTGGGTTTTGTTGACAAAAAATACATCCGCCTGGTGTATTTATACCTTCTTTGACTTGGAATCGCAACAATATCATTGAAGCACTGGAGATGGCAATTGGCAAACGAAAACACCGTGGCTAGTGTAAGGAGATAACCAATGATGAAACTTATCTCCATATTTCTGATAACGGCGCTCACCCATCCCCACTAAGTCCCCGGCTCTGCTATCTGCCGTGATGTCCGTCTTTGTCCCATCTTCTCTCTCGCGCCAATCTCGACAATCCTCCGAAATAACACGTTTAGACGGAAGGGCCTGTCCGGGATGAGCGTCACGGCGCCGTCTTAGCGTCCTCCGACTCCGAGCGTGTGCCGATCCCGGGGGTATAGGGAGGCCAGTAGGCCGGGCAGAGGTAGGTGATACTCAGGGCGAGCGGGCTGTCGGGCCGCCGCCGATCAGAGTCACCGACTGCCGGGCACTGGAGTTACCGTCTGCCGGGCACTGGAGTCACCGACTGCCGAGCACTGGAGTCACCGACTGCCGAGCACTGGAGTCACCGTCTGCCGAGCATTGGACCCACCTACTCGGACGCTTTGACTCACCGACTCGGACGCTATGACTCACCGACTCGGACGCTATGACTCACCGACTGCCGAGCACTGGAGTCACTGACTGGCGAACACTGGAGTCACCGACTGCCGAGCATTGGACCCACCTACTCGGACGCTTTGACTCACCGACTCGGACGCTTTGACTCATCGACTCGGACGCTATGACTCACCGACTCGGACGCTATGACTCACCGACTCGGAGCCCTTGACGATCCAGGTGTAGGCCGAGCATTTGACATGGTCGGAGAGGTGCGGCCAGTCCGGGTCACAGCGGCGGATCAGGTCCGGCCGGCAGCGGCGCAGCTTCAGCTCGCCGCCGCCCAGCGTGCTGACAGGGCAGAGGTCACAGGTCAGAAGTCAAATATCAGAGGTCACAGGTCACAGGCTAGAGGCCACAGTTCAGAGGGCAGAGGTCACAGTTCAAAGGTCACAAGTGACATATAGGTCAGCATAAGGCGCAGGACACATGTCAGAGATTACAAGTCAAAAGCAACAGGTGAGAGATCACAGGTGACAGGGTCACAGGTCACAGGGCACAGGTCGCAGAGGACAGGTCACAGGTCACAGATCAGCCCACCACCGCCCTGGTTACTGGTCAGTTCCAAGTCACATGTCACAGGTCACAGGTCAAATGTCAGAGGCCAGAGATCACAGGTCCCAGGTCGCAGGTCAGAAGACATAGGCGGGTGCGGTGTATTTAGGTATGTATGCATCGATTATCTTTGGCGACTCTACACAGGCACTTTTGTAGCACGCTACATCTTTAACATTTAACGTAGAATCTTTTCGGCACGGCTTGGTCCGGCAGTCTCCCCCCCCCCTCGCAGTCCGGTCACAGGCCTAGCCCTCCATTCACTCACCCATCGCTGCTACCGGGTGACGCACAGCTGAGCGGAGCGCTGCTGCTGCGCTCCCCTCCCCTCTCATTATTCACCCCCCCAGTCACCAGGCCCACCATCCCCCACACATCACTTTTCTCCATCTCCCGCAACGAGCACTGTCCGTGGGAATAGCCGCAGTAGACACATCTGCGAGAAGACGATGCCGCCTACATCAGTACGAACCGTCGAGGCACAGCTGAGTCAACAAGCTACGTCAGGACCGCGGCCGGCGGCGGCGGCGAGCGAGCACGTTAAGGTACTCTGTCACTTGTCACGTACTCTGTCAGGTACCACAACAGCTGCACCGCGCTGAGTCACATGGTGGGAATGGCACAACCAGGAAGATCCTATGGCAAGCAAAAACGCAGTAGTTCCAGAGGTCTTCGCAATGGGCAACCGTTAAACTCTCATTACGACGCCCGCCTATGGAGACAGCTACCGCAGGATGAGCGATTCGAACCTCCTCAAATAACGCTGCATCAGCAAAAGATGTCAACAGATCATGGAGCAGTGTCAAGGATGGATGCCGGCTGGAGCACACAGCCTCCTTTGTCGGGCACAGCAACCCAGGGTGAGTGACCCTGGCAAAACAACCGGGTGACCGACCTCACAATGGCCTCATGAGGTAGTTCCAGAGATCTCCGCAGAGGAAGAAGGCGCTGACTTACGGCCACACCCGGGCCAGTGGGCGGAGCAAGAGTGACGTCACAAGGGGCGTTGCCGGCAGACGAAACGGAAGGAAACAAAAGTTTGAATAAAATGAAATTGAAGAATCAAAATTAAAACTCGAAAATCACAAACCTTTCGGGGATTGTTTTATGCCAGCGATTACTAAAATGATAAAGCACTCAACACGAAGACGATTCGACGGCCAAAAATTGCAGGCACAGAGGAGCAAGGTGACTAAACAGGACAGAGGGCGCCATCTTACGGCCCCACCCACCAGAAGAAGGCAGAGGAAGATGACGTCGCAAGGGCGTGGCAGTCACCCCTCCCCCCCCCAACTATAAAAGGGTGCGCCACCCAACCAGAGGCAGAATCACAGTCGAGCAGCCGAGAGTCACAGTCTGCAGCCGGAGCCGGAGACGCCATCTGGAGGCCGCCGTCGGTCCGGGGTCACCCGCGAGAAGCCTCTTGAGTTCGACCGACCACAGCCGGAGGACAACCGCCGACGCTTGAGACCACACTGAGAAGCGGAAGCGCAGAGAACTCCAGAATGTGAGTGTTGTTGAAAAGTCTGCTCAATCCCAATCCTTGAACCCCCCCCCCCCTCTGCCCGGTTGCCGTGCCGTGACGACTGCCAAACATTTTCGGTTACCATAAAATGCACTCTCAATTGGAATTGGAAAACTTAAATTACTTTGAACTTATTGGTCCAGACACCCTAGTAGCATGTTAGGATCTGAATTTCGAGGTCATGTCAGAGTCGCCAGCAAACCGTTATTGTCAGTGGGAGTTCACGATTAGGCCAAGAGCGAGATCCGAAAATTTACATAAGTAGCTCAGTGTCACGAACGCTGAAATTGATGACAGGATGCGTGACAACGTTGAAATGTCTTTGTCTTCGGTCAAGATGGTTCGTTCGATTTATTATGGGCGATGGCCAGGTGCGTTTTGAGGTTGGAACGTTTGTGAAATAAAGGGTTTAGATTCGTGCTGTACTCACTAAAAGTTGCATTGCGAAATCATTGGTAATATTGCTGTAATCTAAAATGGAAGCTAAAATGGAAGTCGAAATCAATTATAGAACAGGTAAATACGTTTGAAAGGAATGTAATGTTTTAAGGTGGCGACTGATTCATGCGATCGATCTATGAATATGGCTATGAATTATGATTTGCGACAGATACGAATGCTTGAGCGTACGGCGGAATTTTTCCTGTTACTTAGGTGCATAGTTGCGAGCAGTGGTTTGAGGTTGACGGTTTGACACTTTGCGACTTTAGATGGTCACTTTGCGTCATTGAAATTGCGAAATGTCGAGTAACAGGTAGATGTAGAAATGTTTGTGGTTAGAACTAATATGCGACTAATATAGGTACCGATCGTTGTGCTTTGTAGAATAAATACTAGAAAGGACCAGCTTTGTTGGGAAACGATCAAATGGGACAGGAGTAAAAAAAAAAAAAAAAAAAACTTACGTGGAATGGAGCTGATGAGATGTCGAACAGGGAGATATCGAAGCGATATTTTACCAGATTCACACTCACTGACACAGCCGTTGAATCTCCCGGCCCGAAGAGACCGCACACACCAGTACTGCACCGCGAGTGATGACGCGCCCATCGCGGCGCGGCCTTGACAACTGTCGACTGTCGACGCGGCGCCGGCCGGCGGCCGTCGTAATCGTCGTTCCCGACACGGGCGTTGAGCCGCCAGAGGGCGCGAGAAGCAGCCACAACAGGGGCAGTGGGTTAGCCGTAATTGGGGCGCGGGCGGTAGGTGAAGGTCACGTATAGGAGTCTGGTTAGTTGCGGAAAGTTGCAACGGGATAAGAACGTAGACAGTTAAATATGATATGCTATATGATATCTAGGACTGCACTTCGTTTGATGCGCATTGTTTACTGCTAATAGGATGATTTAAATTAGATTCCCTATGAAAGGCTAGGGACCCTATGACAATATTCTGGCACTCTATAAAGATAATTTGTTTAGGTAACTAGTAGCCCATCAGAAGCTATCGAACGAGTTTCAAGGAGGCATTTCCGTTTGAGCATTCAGTAATTCACTATGGTACGGTGGATCACAACCAGACGGCAGATCGATGCGTGTTAATTGGTTCTAGATCATATGTCTGATTAAATCAAGAGCGGTTCAAGGTCTGCTAGGATTGTATACGAGAACTGATGATAAGGTTCACGCGTGTAGCAGCAATTAGGACTTGAGATTACGATTAGATTTGGTTAAATTATGCGTTTCTGCTATTCGCGTTCTTGCGAGTTAGCGCCAATAATTACTCCAACAATATTGGCACAGGGCATTGTGAGGCACAGACGGCTTGTTTGCCCGCCTCCTATGGCGTAACGTTTACCAGCATGACTGTATGAGACACAGATGCACTTCTCGAAACCCACGTCCAGACCGGAATAATAAGAGGGACACACCGTCACGTACGCAGGGCATATGCACGTTTTCCGCCAGTGGTACCGGCCACTGTTAATTTTCCCGCTTAGGTAACACTGGGTGAGAAGGCAGTGAGAGGTTTCTACGGCAGGGGGGAAGGGGAAGATTGGCACAGTATGCAGTGGAGAGTAAGTTATGCCAAAGGCAAGAAGCCGAAGGTCAGGGGTGAGTCACCCAAAGGGCGGATAAGGCGAGCCGTAGTGTCCCGGATAAGTCCTCATACTTATTTCGTAAAGGTACTCTAATCGGTACTGGACAGCCTCAGGGGAGGGAAGAATGTACTCCAGGACACGTAAGGCCTTGAATAGTAAATCCCATGGTTAAGGATAGTTCCAGGATATGAACTAGGGTCCCTGGGTCGTGAACGGGAATGTTACACGCGGACCGGAAGAGGGCATAGGTAATCTCTCCCGGTAGAGAGATAAGTCGGATATAAATCGTGTATGTGTGTACCATAAGTCTATCGGTCGTGTAGTGAATCCCATAAATTAGTAGGGTGGATATTTATGCAATTATTCTGGACGGCCCTGCGGTAAGTATCTTTGTCGCCGGTTAGCGGAGCATGCATATGGATTTCGGAAAGAGACATTTATCTCGCCGGGGAGATCGCTATTAGTCAGGCACCTAACGCCATCGGAGGGAATTCGAGGGGCGCTAAATAAATTTGGGGTGAATATATGACGAACGAACGTAGAGAGAGGATGAGAGTGAGAATGGTAAAGGATGAATCTTAGGATAAGGCCGATGGGAGTTTAGCGAAGCTCAGTTAGGACAGTCAAACTAATTAATCTCGAGGGCAACTTAAAACTAGCAACGCTAATACGAATTAAGTGGGCAATTTTCTTAATGGGAAGGCCAGTGATATAGGAATGGGTGACTGGACGAATGATCACATTCAATTTATCAATGTAATTACCACCCATATGTTTGGCAGTGGTCATCGGGACTTCGAATGCCCTGTCCTTCACCTGCCCAACTGTGCCGCAAACCCAGCTGATCGGATACCTCTATCCCTAATCCGAGCAGTGAAGAAGCATCTCGTGCATCATGGTCTATACAATGAACAGAATCATCAAGCCTCTAAATTAAAAAGCATCTTCCATCAGATGTATTTGTATGCAAGGTGGATCTCTAGACATCTCCCTCAGGTGGATCTCAACACCATCTCAGGATCTCTATCAGGTGGATCTATATCTACATCTATCTCAGGATCTCATCACTATCTGGATCTCTCTCTAGATCTATCTCGGGATCTCTTCAACGACTCTCAAGTTCCCCTGTATCACAAGCTCTACTAACGAGTTCCTTCCAGCAGCGAATCTCTTTTCTGCTACACCGCCGAACAGCAGTGGACCGCGCTGTTTGATGAACCTCAAGATGCAGCTTTTTTATTTCTGTACTTTTTTTTCCCTTCATTCCCTTGCTACAAATGGCGCCCAAAACGTGGGGATTTGATAATTCTCAAATTGTGAAGCTGGTAGACTGGCACAAGCCGCCGAACCCGAAGTTGATGAATTGAAAGTCAACCGTATGGAGAAGAGGAAGAAGTTGAAGAATAGAGCAGGTGTTCGAAATACCGGCAGCAGTGGAAATGAGCGTGCTGCAGGGGTCGATATGAAGAAAGAGGATGAGCTAAAGAAAGCTGTGTGAAGATGATGAAGCTTATGATGGTGGCTGATGACAGGGAAGTTGAAGAATTGAGCAGGTGTTCGAAATACTGACAGCAGTGGAAATAAACGTGCTGCAGGGGTCGACGTGAAGGAAGAGGATGAGCTAAAGAAAGATGTGTGAAGATGATGAAGCTTATGATGGTGGCCGATGAGAGGAAGCGGTCTTACGAATACTGAAAAGGACATAGAAGAAGTTGTTGAAGATAAGATAAGGAAATGAAGCTGTCTCATGAACAAAGGATCAGACTAATACAGAAGACAGGCCGAAAATGAAACTTGACAATTGTTTGCATCAGCATATCAATTCTTCTACGTTCTGCTGTACAACAAGTCCAAGTCTCGGTCAGCTGCTGTATTGCAAAGGAGAGCTCGAACTTTCTAGAGTATTGAGGATAAAAGGACAGCAATATCAAAAGCAGAAGAGGAAGAAGAACAGGCGAAATCCTCGTGTTGTACTGAATCAAAATCAAACACGGTCGTCTTCACAACACAGCCAAGGCGATTATCATGTTGGTGAACGAGGAGAGGGTGCCAGGATGCTGCAAGACCAACTGCCAAACGATCCATTCAGATGGGCTGCTGCAGAGATCACCCACCTGGGCTGCTGCGACGGCGGTCACCTGGTCCGCCGAAAGGTCGCTACCTGAGCTGCCACGGAGGTCACCAGTGCTGCCACGGGGATGCATTGCCCTCGCGTGCTGCCTCGGAGGTCACTCACCTGAGCGGCCGCGGAAGTCGCCTACCTGAGCTGCCACGGAGGTTGTCACCGGGTCTGCCACGAAGGTCACCTACCCGGGCTGCCATGGAGGTCACCCACTTGAGCTGCCGCGGAAGTCGCATACCTGAGCTGCCACGGATGTCATCTGTGCTGCCACGGAGGATGCATTGCCCTCGCGTGCTGCCCCGGGGGTCACTCAACTGAGCTGCCGCGGAAGTCGCCTACCTGAGCTGCCACGGGGGATGCATTGCCATCGCGTGCTGCCTCGGGGGTCACTCACATGAGCTGCCGCGGAAGTCGCCTACCTGAGCTACCACGGAGGCTGTCACCGGGTCTGCCACGAGGGTCACCTACCTGGGCTGCCACGGAAGTCGCCTACCTGAGCTACAACGGAGGCTGTCACGGGTCTCCCACGATGGTCACCCAACCGGGCTGCCACGGGGATGCGTTGCCCTCGCGTGCTGCCTCGGGGGTCACCCACCTGAGCTGCCATGGAGGTCGCTCACCTGAGCTGCCACGGAGCCTGCCACCCGGGCGGCCACAGAGGTCGCGGCAGGGCCGGCCATGGAGGTCGCCTACCCGGACTGCCACGGAGGTGTCATCCACCTGGGCTGCCACGTAGGCTGCCCACACGGGCCGCCGTGCAAGCTGCCCACCCGGGCTGCCATGGAGCCCGCCGTCCGGGCTGCTGTGGAATCTTCCCACCCTGGCTGCCGTGGAGGCCGCCCCACCCAGGCTGCCATGGCAGGCTGCCACCCGGGCTGCCGTGAAGGCTGCCCACCCGGGCTGCCACGGAGGCCGCCACCCGAACTGCTGTGGAGGCCGCCCACCTGGGCTGCCATAGAAGTCTTCACCCTCCTGAGAAGCCGCTTACGGGACGGCCAACGACATCGGACTAACCAAAGTGGTTGGTGCCCGTGACCCGGATCTGGTGAACGACAAACTGAGGTGGGGACGAGGAACAACAGGTGCGTGTGTGTACTGTACTAGGTATACGATGTCATTTTGTAGGCGTTGCGGAACTTAACATGATTGTGTAGATTTAAATGAGTAAGGGGTGTGACTTTTTTGTATGAGTTGCGAGGACGCAACTAGGGTTGTTTGGACTGAAGATGTAGCACGCTACATCTTTAACATTTAACGTAGAATCTTTTCGGCACGGCTTGGTCCGGCAGTCTCCCCCCCCCCTCGCAGTCCGGTCACAGGCCTAGCCCTCCATTCACTCACCCATCGCTGCTACCGGGTGACGCACAGCTGAGCGGAGCGCTGCTGCTGCGCTCCCCTCCCCTCTCATTATTCACCCCCCCCAGTCACCAGGCCCACCATCCCCCACACATCACTTTTCTCCATCTCCCGCAACGAGCACTGTCCGTGGGAATAGCCGCAGTAGACACATCTGCGAGAAGACGATGCCGCCTACATCAGTACGAACCGTCGAGGCACAGCTGAGTCAACAAGCTACGTCAGGACCGCGGCCGGCGGCGGCGGCGAGCGAGCACGTTAAGGTACTCTGTCACTTGTCACGTACTCTGTCAGGTACCACAACAGCTGCACCGCGCTGAGTCACATGGTGGGAATGGCACAACCAGGAAGATCCTATGGCAAGCAAAAACGCAGTAGTTCCAGAGGTCTTCGCAATGGGCAACCGTTAAACTCTCATTAGCGCTCACCTTTGCCGTTCCGGGTGTCAGAAGATGGTTTACTTACGGATTGAACTTCCCTTCTAACCTGCTTTCGCGTTTTGGCGTATCACGGTCTCGACTTCTATCTCGTCCCTTTGTCGGTTCTTGCTTCCTTTCCGTATCTGCTACATGCTGAAAGACCGACCCGAAGGGCAGATAGAAGGAGACTGGAAGGACGTAGGACAGGTGGTATTGGGCAGTGGGTGGGTGGGAAATTGCTCTGGCGTGCCGTTGTCGGGCGGATGTTCAAACAACAGGCTGTTGCGGCGTTGCCGTTCCGCGAAATAACAAAGCGCATAATAATTAGTTAATATTGATTTCGTGGTGGTAGGGCAGTGTACAAGACTGGCTAAATATTCGATAAGTATTAAATAATAAAGCAATTTTCCCATAGAACTTGTTTTCAGGCTGCGCTCCCTAGATATATAATAAACTCTGGCCGCTCGACGCGCCATCTATGCTCCCGTGTACGGACACTCTCCGCGCGGGGCCAGTAGGCACCCGCCCGTCGGTGTGCGTGGGCCGGCCGGTAGACACCCGTCCGTCCGGCGCTAATGTTCCGTGCTGCATCGCGTTGCACAGCACGGTGCCATTAGCGCTCACCTTTGCCGTTCCGGGTGTCAGAAGATGGTTTACTTACGGATTGAACTTCCCTTCTAACCTGCTTTCGCGTTTTGGCGTATCACGGTCTCGACTTCTATCTCGTCCCTTTGTCGGTTCTTGCTTCCTTTCCGTATCTGCTACATGCTGAAAGACGCCAAAGAAACGCCAAAGTGTATTCCAGTCATTAGGGGCGGGGCCATTCTACGGGGCAGGGGCCGCGTTGACAGCGATGCGCGCTTCCCACACGTCCAGGCGGCGCCCCCGGATGTACCGGAGGTGCGATGACGAGGCCCACCGACCGGATGCACGGATCGCGCCGTCGGAGGCGCCGGTGGCTGCGGCGGCGGTGGCGAACCCAATCCGCAGGCTATGCGTGGTGAGCCGCCCAGCGTCCGAGGGCGCGTAACGGCGAAGTACGCCGTTTAGCCAGGCGATCGTGCCGTACGCGCCTGATGCCCGGATAAACAGTGGTTGGTCTGGAGGCTGGTCGGCGACGTTGCGAAGGTACCTCCGCATAGCCTGGACTGGACATCCGGGGCCGGAGACACTGGGTAGCTCGACGGTGGCTCCCCGATACGCTTGGTCGGTTTTGGACGCCGGGATATGCAGCACAAGACGGTCCCGGTGTAGTGTGACATGCCGGCGGGCGCACGTGCGGCGGCGAGAGAACCGGTGCGCACTTGGGGCCAGATACTCACTTCCGCGTAGCGCGCCGAAAAATCCCAGCGTGATTGCCGCCCATGCTGCCCTCCGGTCATGCGCTGACATCGAGGCCCGCCGGAGTCGCCGGCGCAGTCGCAGCAGGATCGGCACGGACGCCGGTCGCCGGCCGGGCGGGCGTGGCCCCTGGCTGTCTCTGCTGATGGCCCGCAGCGCTAACCGGATTCGTTCCGTCCGGCCGGGCCAGGGTCGCTCCCGCGTGGCGTGCCAGTGTCGCAGTGCCGCCAGATGGGATGAAGCGAGTCCCGGGGAAGTGTTGTTGAGACTGAGGTGGGCGAGGAAACGAAGGACTGTGCGCTCTGTGGCGGGGATAGCGGGGAGGTTGTGAGAGGCGCAGAAAGTCTGGAAGGTAGCGACACACCGCCGATACGCTCTTCGCGTTGCGGGTGCGAGTCCGTCCCGGATGAGCCGGCGCGCTTCCGTGTCTAAATCGGGTAGCCCGACGCCGTGGTGCAGGTTTCCGTCGGCGCTTCCAGGAAGGCCGTCATCGCGGGCGGTACCGGCGTGGGCTCGGCCGCTGCCGCTGGATGCAGGCGGCGGAAACGGCCGATCTGGGAACGCGAGAGCGCGTCAGCGGAGCTGTTGTCTGTGCCGGGCACATGTACCACTCGCAGGTCGAATGAGCGCGAGGCAGCGACGAAAAGCGTTTGGCGTATGAGCGACATGAGACGCCGGTCCCGTGACCAGCCTTTGCTCCATGCCCCGACCACCCCGGCATTGTCACAGTGTATGGACACCCGCATGCCCTGCCAACTATGGCCCCATAGCAGGCACACTGTCAGGATCGGGATCATCTCGAGCCAGGAGATGCTGGAGGCCCAGCGCAGCGTGGCTGCTGGCCACTGCTGGGAGAACCAGTTCGGCCCGCAATGGCCACCGTGCCCCACTGTGGATGCGTCGGTATGGAGGTGAAGGTGGGCGGGCGGTGTCCAGTGCGGGTGGAGGAGGGGGGCTGACCCGTTCCAAGTCGGTAGGATGGAGAGCCACCAATTCAAGTCTCTGCGAGTGTCAGTGCTCATATTGACCCAGTGGTGGGGGCGCTGTGCGGTGTGAGCTGTGTCGAGGAGCCGTCGGAAAAAACTGCGCCCTGCTGGGATACATTTGACGGCATGAATGAGCTTGCCCGCGAGGCTGAGAAGGCGCCGCTGCCGGATTGTGCGAGAGGCTCGCACCTCTTCCAGGAGCTGGATGAGAGCGCGAAGCTTGGCGGACGGCAGTGAGATGGTCATGCTTGCGGTGTCCAGCACGCAACCGAGGAGCTCCATGCGGGTGGATGGTGGGCAGCATTTGTCAGGCGAGACGGGAATGCGGCATCGGTGACACAGGTCAAGGAACGTCTGGTACGCTTCGCCGCATGCGTCCGAACCTGCCGGTCCGATGAAAAAGAAATCGTCCAGATAGTGATGAATGTTGGCGTGGTTGGCGTGGTGTCGTGTGGCAATTGCGAGCAGATCGGCGAAGTCGTTGAAGATGGAACAGGCTGACCGCAAACCGAATGGTAGCCGGAGGTCAACATAATATGCTCCCTCCCAATGGTGACCGAGCAGCCAGCGCTGTTCCGCGCGAACGGGGATGAGTCTGAAGGCATGTCGGAGGTCGGCTTTTGCGAGAAGCGCGTTCTGGGGTCCGGCGGAGAAGATATGAGCAATAGCACTGTCCATGGAGGTGTAATGTACGGCAAAGGAATCCTTGTCAATGTGACTGTTGACGCTGAGTCCTTCCGGTTGGGACAAATCTAGAATCAGGCGGACGGAGCCGTCGGGCTTGTCTCTCGCCCCGAGCGGGTTGCAGCGGAACGGGGAGTACGGTGGTGATGGGAATGGGCCAGCCGTGTGTCCCCGTGCCACCTCTTGTTGCACCGCCCGGGAGACTGCTGCCGGTCGCGACCGAGCCGAGAGGTTGTTGGGTCGCCAGGTGGATATCTGTGGGCCCGTGTATCCTATGTCGGCTCCGCGCTGGAGACGGTCGAGGACGGTACGGAGAAGGCCGGGATCGACTGCTGCGGCGGCTACGCCATGTAGGGAAGGTATGTCGATAGGTGTGGTAGGAGGGGGCAGGGATGACCGGATGAGGGCGTGCGACTGGCTTACCGTGGGATCTACCGCCACAGTGGGCGGGGGGGCCGTGCTCCGGTCGGCTGCGGAGGGCGTGCCGGCGCCAGGGGGCGCGCGCTTTGCGTCGGGCAGCTTCTGGCGGTGTGCGGCCCTTGGCAGCGGTGGCAGACGTGTCGGCGCCCGCATGCGCCTCCGGGTGGGCATGATCGTGCGTGGTAGTTGAACCGGAGGCATATTTCGTTTCCCTGCCGCTGCTGCTGGGTGGCATACGGCTGTGCCTGTACCGGGGCTGGCGCGGGGGCGTACACTGCTGGTGCCGCGAGCGCTTGTCCGATGGCTTCCGTCAGCGAGGCTGGGTCCTGGTACTCCATATGGTACCGGGCGATGTGCGTCCTCGCCTTGACATCTATGTCGCGTAGGGCGCTAGTAGGGAGGTCACCGGCCTGACCTTGCAGCCACAGTACGTAGCTGAGCCATTGGATGGCAGCACCTGGGAAAAAGTAGGCTCGGTACGTGGCGATGGCGGTGACGCCGCGGAGGTATGCTGCTGGACTCAGTGGTGGGTACCGCGGCTGTCCCCGCGCACCGTCCACGGGTGGCGCGTGCGGGAACACTACCTCGTCTACAGACACCATCGTGGCACGGTTGGCGAGTGCCTGCATGGCGGCAGCGCTGATGGTCGGCAGCTTCAGCGCGCGCGGTGGCGGCGGCTGCTTGGACTTGACCGGGACTCGGCTCATGTCCAGCATGTCTATGGCTGGTGTCGGCGTGTGAGTGCGCCGCCGGTGACTGTCCGTGCTGCGAGCCCGGCGGCGGTGGCGGCGGCTCGATG